ACCCGCTTATAACGAACTGACGGATAAAACGAACTTACTTTTTGGTCCCAACTACTTGCTGTAGTCATGCTGTATATGTACTTATAACGAACTACGGTTATAGCGAACTAAAATTAGTAGTCCCTTTGAGTTCGTTATAACCGTAGTTTACTGTATGTCACGTGGTGTAGCTCCACTGTGAGCTTTTACCATTCATCACGACTCTTTAGACGCGTTATTATGATACAAATATATTGCGGCAGGGAAATCTTTGACAATATATTTATGTTACACACATGCACACCCAAATATACATATACAGACAATTGTCATATTTTTTCATGTATATTATGATTAGGTACATGTAATAATTACATGTTCTTCCTCATGGCTGGTCTGTTTCTTTCGACCGCCTCCGAGGTCTAGTGGTAGAGCGTCCGCCCGGAGAGCGGAAGGTCCTGGGTTCGATCCCGGGCCGCGTCATACAAAAAGACGTTGAAAGATTGTACTTGTTGTTACCCTGTCTGGCGCTCGGCATTAAGGGGCTAAAACAAGGACTGGTCGGCTCGGAGTCAGTATACTGTGTCTGAGTGGGGTATTCATGTTAAACTGCGGCATGGTATCTCAGTGAGCTAGCACTATAAATCGGCATCAGTCCGGACTAGTACAAGCAGCCACACACACACATACACGTGCATGCACGTCGCTATATAAGTGCAATAATCTTGGACGCGACGTTAAACCCAATTTCACCTCACCTCACCTCTGTTTCTTTCTGCATACGAGTAAGACTTTCTGCTTGGATTGGCAGCATGAAAACAAGGGAATTTGGTCAAGACGTTAAAACTAAGACAGAGGTATATCGATGATCTGACATCGTTCAATAATGGCCAAATAGCCGATTCCTTTCCTCTGATTTACCTACCGGAAGTAGAAATGAACGACACCAGTGAAGCCACCTCATCTGTTTCATATTTAGATGAAGATTCAGAGTGACAATAAAGTATCCACAAGACTGTATGACGAGGGGGGTGACTTCAACTTTCCCTTTATGTCGAACAATATGCCAGCAGATCCGGCCTTTGGCCTCTACATTTCATTACTTTTGAGGTACAATCGAGCATTCTCTGTCTACGATGATTTAAAAGAGCGCCCTAAAGACTCGCACAACGTTGATTTGGTTTACAACATTCAAAGCCTTAGAACAAATTTACCATCAGGGACAAAATGATGTCCGATGCAATTCCCAATTTTGACTTGTACCACATCTTCCCATTTTTCTCACGAAAACTATTGACTTTCCTTTGCGTGTATTTTTTACGGGTGTCACTGGTAGAGCAGGATACATTCACACTTTTATCATCACTATTTGATAGCGATTCATGAACGCATGCTTATGATATAGTCGGAATCGTACAACGGATTTCTCATAATTATGGAAAGTGTTTTGTCGCTTTTATTTTACATATACATTTTGTGCAGACCACTGTCACACATTATATGTATATTATGAATATATCTTGATAGGGAAAGACAGACCTGGATAGGGTAAGCCGTAAGTTGATAGGGTAGGCTTTAACGTGTAAGGGTAAGCCGTAACTTAATAGGGTAACTTGTAACGTGTAAGAGTAAGCCGTAACTAGATGGGGTAAGCTGTAACGTGTAAGGGTAAGCCGTAACTTAATAGGGTAAGCTGTAACGTGAAAAGGTAAGCCGTAACTTGATAGGGTAAGCTGTAACGTGTAAGGGTAAGTTGTAACTTGATAGGGTAAGCTGTAACGTGTGAGCGTAATCCGTAACTTGATAGGGTAAACTGTAACGTGTAAGGGTAAGCCGTAACTTGATGGGGTAAGCTGTAACGTGTAAGAGTAAGCTGTAACGTGTAAGGGTAAGCCGTTACTTGATAGGGTAAGCTGTAACTTGTAAGGGTAAGCCGTAACTTAATAGGGTAAGCTATAACTTGATAGAGAAGCTGTAGATTGATAGCTCAAGTTGATACTTGATCGGGTAAGCCGAAACGGGTAGGGAAGGATCGACCTTCATATGGTAGGATCAATATTGATAGGATTAGTTGAACCATTTGGGAAAGCTGAGATATGACACAGTAAGCTAAAACTTGATACGGTAAGTTTCACCTTGATAGGCAAACAGCGATTAATTAAAAAATAAACGTGTTGAAAAGACTGATTGGGTGACAGACAAAATCACATTTCAAAATCGGCCTTGCGTGAGTAATTAAACATTTAAATGCATTTGTTGTACAAGTTATGTTTCAACAAACGAGTAACATCAACGACATTTCGTCCAACCATTGGTATGACCTTCGTGAACTTGTCTTTGCTGCCGAGTCTTAACTTGGTGAATGTCGAGCGCACTTGAATGACTTCCACAGCGGTATCTGAAGTTTAAATGAGTTACAGGAAACGGCGTTGCTATTTCTCCAGAACGTGGATTCAGTTCTACAAAGAAAGCTACCAGAAAACGAAATGATAGAATACCCAGAGGCTTCCGCGAAGACGGGAGCTGGTCTGATTGTATCTGCGATCACGTCATTGTATCTAAAGTCTGTGCTGTAACAAAGTCAACACGGTGGGCATGTGTTGATAGGAAGGCTAAACGACTCCTGTTATGTCTCAGAGTTGACCAGATTACGCGTGAGCGACGACGAAGATCGATGTTAATGTCGTTGCTGGCCAAGAACCGAACATCCAGCTAATCATACTGCGAGGCAGGGCCCTATGCCACGCATACACCTCAACACGCGCCATTTCTAAATCGACAATCCTTTTGTTGCTTTTCTATGCAGACTTTCCATTTGCTCAATTAACAATTTCTGTAATGGTCGACCCGGAAGGCATAGAGTTCTTCTGGGAATTCTTGCATTGTCTAATTCTGTCGATTGGATCCCGCTTCCTATAGTTGCTTAAGCCCTTATGGCAATAAGTGTGAGCGGTGTCGGGCACGGGAAGAAAGGGCGCTGTCACTGGAAGTGACTAGGAATAAAGGGATGCTCGTCTCTCTTTTAAAATACTGGCTAATTCAAAGCAGATCGGAACACTTGGTGAAAGAGGACTAAATGATTCAACGGATTCTGCCTAGCACCATGGACAAAAAGATTCTATTGAAGTGCGGCATGATTTAAATCTTAGACATTTTTTTTCAACTTCGCCAAGAGGTTATGCGTTTAGAAAACACAAATGGTGGCAAACAGAAAATTACTTTAAAGTGCAGTAGGTCGTTAAATCTATGCCAGAATCGAATTGAAGGATCTCAATATTTAACCTGCATGTTGAAATTGTATAAGTAATCAATACAGGGGATATAATTCAATGAGGAATGCTGGATTTAACAGTATTTCGCACCATTGTGGTAACATTCCCCGAAGACCACCTCAGTAAGTACAGGTTGGGAATAGAACTCGGGTTTTAACTGTGAAGACCTATCGCTTTAACCGACAGGCCACCCTACTTCACCAAGTTGCCACCCAGTGACGAGAGACACGGGAATTCGCATTCGTGACGTCTCGTTTCATGCCGAGTCAGGTTACGGAAAGAGGCGAGTGGTGACGAGTACGAAACTCGCTGTGAAGAGTTGCGTTCGTTAACTACCACTATACCTAGGTAGTCGCTGGTAGTGCTTCCCAGTCCAAGTTTCACCCTGATACAGAAGGATCCTCAGTCCGTAAAAAAACCATAATGCTTCGCCGAAACTGACTCAACTGTGCGCAAAGACAATTAGTGATAAACATTATATGGATGGCTCACTGAAAATCAGTGATGACACCAGGTGTTCGCGAAAACTGCAAGCACGTCCTGCATAATCTGCATCAAAAGCAAGTGTTTATTTCTCTAAGTGGCTTTTAGAAGTTGGTATGATGAACAAGGGAGATAATACCATGCATTTACAACTCGCTGTAGATACTAACACCGTCATGAAGCAAGTGCTAACGGTGTTAGTATCTACACCGAAACGTCTGGGTCATAGTAGTAATGTCCTTTGTTCAAGTGTTTATTTGCCTCCCACAGCCGCACCCAGCAATACTTCCGCCATACGACGGCATTTTACCGAGGCAGGAGTCTCTGTACCAGCCCATATCAAAGTCTAGTTTTCACCCTTGTTTTCACTACTTTTCTGTACCCTAAACAGAGCACTGGGATTCCATTGTCCCTTGTAAAGTGTAAACCTAAAGAAAATTGTGTAATCGTTCTTGTAAAATGAAAAAAGAGACTCAACATATTTTTGGGTAGGGAAACAGGTTTCGATCTATTCTAAAACATGACAACAGTGCTTCAATTTACTGCGCTTTTGAATATATTTTTGGCCATTCAATACTGTTGAACAAATGTAACGATTTACTATTAATTCTCTGCTCACAGCAATCCAATTATCACACTACAACATTCAAACTAGGAATGAATGGGATTACATGTCCTTATTAAGTATTTGTTCTAATCCCAACAGTCAAATACACGACCACGCTTAAGTGCCTCGAACGCCATCATCCTATGCGCGGACAGTAAAAGGAGTAGTTATTTTATGCAATATTCTGACTTAACGTTAAGCCATCCGCAATATCAAAGTTAATTGGAATAACAACGTTCTCGAACAGTACTTCCTGGTGTAATTTCCACTTCTCGATTCCCTCGCCCCTTATATAAAACCATTTAATAGAGCAAAAAAACAACACCTGCGTCATCTTTCGCAAACATAAAACTTGAGTTTCATATTTGTCACCCAAACCGGGCATTACATTGGCCAAACTAATTATTGAAATGAGTTTAAAATTCTCGAAATTGGGGTCTGAAGTGTTCTAAACCAATAGGAGCTTACGAAAGCCAGTGTCTATTAAGGCTTAGAGCCTCTTCGTTCGTCGTCTTGCCGAAGGACTCCTATCCTTAGAGATAAAAGCCAATAACACGCAGTAATAACATCGGACTTGTAGCATGAAGTGATGCAGTGAGCCTGGCGCCTGCTGATGAACCTGTTTGCAGCTAACTTGCCTATTCCTGAGATGCATGGTCTGTCCCGCTGCATTAGGTATAAGGTTGAGTAACGTTGGGTGACGTGGGCGCATTAACTGTGTTGAGATGAGCTAGGGGCGAGAGGAGTCGCCTGCAGTGGGTATTGATCCCATCATTACCGACGTAAGGACGCTGAAGTCTGTCAAGTTAAACTGTGAGGGGCGGTGACTGTACTACCTCACCGCGACGACAACACCCTCGAAAACTACTGTCAAGGTAGCGTCAACAACCACCATCATAACAGAAGTAAAAAGTTTAAAATAACTATCTTATCCGCGCCAGTGGCGAGAATTGATTGGACGGACATTATTCCACGCGATTTATCACGCCGGTGGTCGAGCGATCGGAGGCGTTATTGATGGTATTCACTGAGTTTGAAAGTTTTTTCACCGGTCTAAATGACAATGCGAGCTGCTAGTGGTACAGTGGATTTATAGATGGAGCTTGTTCAGGGACAATACACTCCAAGTGTGCGAGTCACCTCATTCACTGATCACAGGGCATACGTCGGTGTAATACGATTCGTCTCATGGCGATTACGTTGACTGGGAGACACTGACCGCAGAAAATTCAAGTGTCGTCTGCTCTTCGCAGTCACAAGCAAATCTCGTCTGCACGTGATCATGAACAACGGCAACACACACCTACCTCCCGGCAGTTTTAATGGATGCCCATCAGTGTAACTGTGTTGTATTATCAATGAAGAGCCTGTCGACACTATTGGCTTCGACAACAAAGGCAGTCCCCAGTTCCAGAAACTTAAAGCCGTATTAAATCCTGGATTACTTACCACGAGAGACAATTCCTGTTATCCTGTACTTCTATGTCATAAAGACAGCTGCCGCCGCGATGAGTCCAGTGTATCACGGATGTAGAGAATAATCTGCTAATGGAATGAACATCTCTTCAGCGCTCGATTCAAAGGGAAGCTGCAGAACTATGTGCATTCCGGAGCCACGGACACGTAATACAGCTTGAAGCATACAGGTACAGACAAAGACGACGAAAACGTCTTTTTAAAATATGGCTGTATTTTCAAGCACGTGCAGAATACTGTTTCTTCAGACGCCAATTCGAATTTAAGATTATTTCTTGAACGAGTGCATTCATTCAAGTTCCAGTTTTACCATTATAACAAAGTTCTGTTAAAACGACTTGTGAAACCAAGACCTACCAGACTGATATTCTGTGGATAGAGTTCTGTACAGACATATTCTGTATCCGGATAGTCTGTGTTCGCTCCTCGGAAACACGCTGGCACATTGGTATTGATTCCCAGGATTGATAATACGCCGACATATACCTGCCCAGAGTCTGTTGTAGGAGGAGATACCGATGTACCGTTATCTTCAGTGAGGCTTATGCAACACAGTCCGCAAGCCTGCGCTACTCTGATCGGTTGGAGCACTAGCATACTCAGCATCCTCCGTCACGTCTTCGCCTCTGATATGTGGATACAAATATATACAGAGCAAGAAAATAACCACAGATAGAAACAAATAGATGTTTAAAGGCACGTCACCCAATCGTTGTTTGATGGTGTACAAGTGTTTGAATTCTCTACGCAAGATACCATAAACCAGCATTAATATTTTGAGTATAATAAGGAATAAAGGCACACACTGGGTTATTGTTTGATACTGTACTTGTGTGTTTGAGTATCTACAGGAGCAATAACCACGGAAGCAGTTTCATTAAAGGAGTTCTCTCGGATAAACTGTGCTTTGGTTTCTAGAATATCGGTGCTTGGAGATTCTGTCAAATCAGTGCTTGTGGCATTTGTGACATCAAGGTTTGGATTCTAGGTGGGCATTTTGTGGGATTCCTTCATTATGGCCAGGGTAATGTCCTTAGAGAAGGTACAGCTTTACGACGCAAATTGATGTGGGAACAGTCCTTAGAGAAGGTACAGCTTTACGACGCAAATTGATGTGGGAACAGTCCATAGAGAAGGTATAGCTTTACGACGCAAATTGATGTGGGAACAGATCGTCGCCAAGACGACCCAAGGTTGTTTAGCTCTCTGATTTGAAGACGTTTCCACAATTCGCTAAGATGTCGTTTGCCCAGATCATGGATAACCTGTTTCACACTGTCAGAAGCGTCAGTTTCTGGAGGTCAGTGAAGACCGAGTTCCTTCTGACAACCTTCTACGTCCTGTTTGGGTGCGGCGCCACGATCACGGCCAACACCCGCTGTAAAGCCAGCACCGACGAACTTAAGGCTGCCGTGACGTTCGGGATGACAACAGTGACGCTCCTTCACTGTTCACTGAGGATGGGTTCACCCGCACAAATGAACCCCGCAATTACCATCGCAATGCTGTGCACCCGCAAAATCGACATCATCACAGCGTTTTTTAATGTATTTGCTCAATGCTTGGGAGGGATCGCTGGAGCCGGGGTGTTGTATGGAGTTACCCCTGCTCGACAGCATGAATACCTTGGCGTGACCTCTGTGCATTCGGACATTGAGAGTGGACAAGCTTTCGGAATCGAATTTCTCATCACATTTGTACTTGTGTTTGCTTATTTCTCTAGCATGGACCCGCCCCATCTAGCGACGGGTACCTTCCAAGTTATACCAGCGGGTCTCGCCATTGCGATTGGTCATACATTTGGGGTAAGTGTATACCAAAGATGTTTAGTTGTCGGAGTGAAATGGAGTTTTTTGGGGGTAAGATTAGCAGTATATATCTTTTTTATATGATGCGATTGTCCCTAGAGCATGATATGCTGGCACGTTTTGAATGCCAGTGTCCTATAGTTTACACTTATTGACTGCTATCGTTTCAATTATATCATTTCATTCATTCATTCATTCATTCATTCATTCATTCATTCATTCATTGGATCCCGGAACGGCTAAGGGATGCCCATCTTCATATCGAGATGCGACCCGTGAAGATATGGCGTAGAATAGGTCTTCAACAACCCATGCTTGCCGTAAAATGCGACCATGCTTGTCGTAAGAGGCGACTAACTGGATCGGGTTGTCAGGCTCGCTGACTTGGTTGATGCATGTCATCTTATCCCAATTGCGTGGATCGATGCTCATGATGTCAATCACTGGATTGTTTGGTCCAGACTCGATTATTTACAGACCGTCGTCATATACTGCTGAGTGCGGCTTTAAACAACAAACAAACAAAAACATCAAAATGCAGCGCCTTTGGGAATAACAGTTCAGTTAATGTGAGTGTAAGCAAAATTAAAACTGGAAAAAACTAAATTAAAACTTAAGTGCAAAACGCAGTACGATCATGTATGATTCCCTTAATGACTTTATTATCATACCTGCCAGACATTTGAAGAACATAACATTTACATTTTCCTCTCATTACACTGGTTTGAGGGGATTAGTTTCCATGGCTACATTGCTACACATATCATACAGCCCATAGTGAGTTTAAAAGATGAAGCAGAAAAAGATGTCCATAACGCGATCCTTAGAATTCAATATAACAGATCGCGTGTACTCATTCCGAATACATTTTCAGGAACCGGTGGATCAAACGAACTGATATATTGATACCGTTACACGATTGGAATATATGATGAATGATGGCAAAAGACATGCACATCAGCGAATAAACATGTCGTGTTATTATGTTTGAGCGGCTGTCTATTCCGATTACAACAGTGATGAGGGACGTTGGGGTAGCCACATGGTTACAGCTATGGTTAAAAGGCCCAGGTTTGATTCCACACATGGTGAAGCTCGTTCAAATTGTACTTGGCAATTGCTGAAAACGGCGTAAAAGGTCACCCTGTCTCTTATAACATCCTTCATCAATTATATAGTTATGCAAGTCTAAACGTAGGTCTGGTGCAAACGAACCGATGACACATTCCGTCACAATCTGGACTCGTCAAACCCATTGTAAACTTAGTGTCGGATTTTAGGGTTGTATGTCAAACTGCAAGCTGAGGTTTAATGTTTCGAATTCTTGTGAAAAGCTAACACTCTCATCTCATGTCTTATGGTTGGTATACATCAAGATAATAAAATAGAAAAAGTCAACGCCAGAGAATAATCTTTTTTTGGGGGGGGACAGATCCCCCTGGGTGTAAGCCATACCATACACACATGATACCGCATTTTGTGAACGTCATTCAGGTGACAAAAAGTATTGACATATCGCTATACCGTTAGTATTTAATATTTTTGTCGTTGAGTCTGTCACAGTAACTACATGTTCGCAATGTGTCGTGTAGCTCTCCAAAATAAGTTTGTCTATATTAGAACCTGCCAGTGTGTAAACCCAATTAGTATATTGGGGACATCTGAGGCCACACGTCGCCGTGAACAGTTGTGTCCCTTTGTCATTTTAGGAGTCGCTGGTTTCAGGTACAAATAATAGGATCTTCCTGATGACGATCCTTGGTCTTTCTGCATCTGTATGGCGTCATCTTGGGCATGTACCACGCATTAAGCGGATTCACAGTGAAATCACTATAACACTGTAAACTATGGCCACGTACTCACTCTCTCACCAATATAGCTCTTGCCGTGGTTGGACTATCACCATGGTAACCAACTGGAGAACATCCCGGATAGCGTATTTGTCCCCTTTCGTTCTCTTCACTTAAGGATAGTTATCGAGTCATGCTTCATGGATTGAGGAGGACCTAAAGGACATGTGGCCTAAAGAATTCACCATGGAATATTTAGCTTTCTGTCAGGTCAACTTGACCGCTTGGTTTCACATATCTCGGAACATATACGATTAACTGTGTAAACATTGTATTGAGGCCTGAGTTTGTCACACAAAGACGACACCCAAAGCTTTAACTTGTTCGAAGGCTACCTTTAACTTGTAGAACGACCTCTGAATGTTTGGCCTGTGAAATTCGGGTGAGAATAGGTCTTCAGCAACCCATGTTTGCCGTAACAGGCCACTATGCTTGTTGTAAGAGGCTTCGTGGATACATGTCATCGTATCCCAATGTCGTGGATCGATGCTCATGATGTAAACCACTGGGTTGTCTGGTCCAGACTTGATTATTTACAGAATACAGCTGGAATATTATTTAACAAACAAACAAACTTAATGACTACCTTTAAGACACAAATCTCAACCCAGGCATCATAAAACATACAAAACATGTCAATGAGATGTGGTGAAGATAGGTGGTTATATTGTCCACTCGTCAATCCAGGTTCGATTCCGACAAAGGCAAATTTGTGAATCCCATTCTTGTACCCACCATAACAAAACTGAAATATTGCCAAGTGCGCTGTAAAGTCATACCCACTCACTCACTCATCCACTCACTCACTCACTCACTCACTGACACATGCGTCAATACAACCATAACGCTTTTTGCGCTCTGTCGTTCAAGAACACGCAAGCAGTACATTTCTAATTAAGAAATCATAGGCAGGCCGTGCGGCTTTGAAGGTTCAGTCCTCTGTTATTGCACTTTTCTTTGCCCACAGTGGAAATACACCGGCGCCAGCCTGAACCCAGCCCGCTCCCTGGGCCCAGCCATTGTCTGCAACGAATGGAGGGACCATTGGGTGAGTAAAAGTCATTGGGTATTTTAATTTCGTGCCTGTTGGCACGAAATAAAATCGTTACTTATAAAAAATGACATTTTATTTTTTATGATTGCATCTCAAGTATGGTTGTGCCTGTTGAGAGAATGGAGCATACCGTAGTTATATGAATTCACGCACCAGGCATGCGGCCCGAAACAGACACACCAGTCGCTTACTAGTATATCTGACAGAGACTATCACGGTTAGTCTGTCTTACAGACCCTCATACAAATATATATCAAATACAGCCCATGCAAGTCTATAATGTTTGGCAAGTCTAGATCACTTCAGTATCAGGAAAATGAAGAGAGTCACTGGGCTCCTTTTTATTATATTTTTATTAAGATAACTGAACAACTGTTTTTTTATGTACGATATGTTCATTTCAGAGACTAGATGTTAGTCTATATCACGGTACACGATCACGGTTATCTGTCCACCTTGTTACCCACATCACGGTGATTCCAGGAGAGAGAGGGGATCCCCAATAAGCATGTGTCCCTTGAGGAACCCTGAGTGCAATTGGTAACACGTCGCCCGTGCTTGTTCCCCAGTGAGGTGCTCTATGAACCAAACGTTAGTCTACTAGGAGGGTCCAGGACAAACACAGTCCAACGACCTCATGGCGGTCTCTACCCGTGAAGATCCGGGTTTTAGAATAAGTCCCACGACCTCATGGCGGTCTCTACCCTTGAAGATCCGGGTTTTAGAATAAGTCCCACGACCTCATGGCGGTCTCTACCCGTGAAGATCCGGGTTTTAGAATAAGTCCCACGACCTCATGGCGGTCTCTACCCGTGAAGATCCGGGTTTTAGAATAAGTCCCACGACCTCATGGCGGTCTCTACCCGTGAAGATCCGGGTTTTAGAATAAGTCCCACGACCTCATGGCGGTCTCTACCCGTGAAGATCCGGGTTTTAGAATAAGTCCCACGACCTCATGGCGGTCTCTACCCTTGAAGATCCGGGTTTTAGAATAAGTCCCACGACCTCATGGCGATCTCTACCCGTGAAGATCCGGGTTTTAGAATAAGTCCCACGACCTCATGGCGGTCTCTACCCGTGAAGATCCGGGTTTTAGAATAAGTCCCACGACCTCATGGCGATCTCTACCCGTGAAGATCCGTGTTTTAGAATAAGCCTCACGACCTCATGGCGATCTCTACTCGTGAAGATCCGTGTTTTAGAATAAGTCCCACGACCTCATGGCGATCTTTACCCTTGAAGATCCAGGTTTTAGAATAAGCCTCACGACCTCATGGCGATCTCTACCCGTAAAGATCCGTGTTTTAGAATAAGTCCCACGACCTCACGGCGATCTCTACCCGTGAAGATCCGTGTTTTAGAATAAGCCTCACGACATGGCGATGTCTATCCGTGAAGATCCAGGTTTTAGAACCAGGATCGGGTGGTCAGGCTCGGTGACGTGATTGATAAATTTCATCGTATCATAAATGAGTGGATCGATGCTTGTGATGTCAGTCACTGGATTGTCTGGTCCAGGCTCGATTATTTACAGATAGCTGTAATATAGCTGTAATATTGCTGAGTGTTAAGCAACATTCTGTCAACGCACATGTTGACGGGGAATTAGCTCTTTGGGGAAAGAAGGACAAAATCGACATCACTGTCCAGGAACGCTTTATGCACAACATGTAAACAATAAACAACAATTGCACAATGAGCGGAATACCTGCTCTGACAACACAAACACAGCAATGAGCGGACCTTCAAGCTCAGGCGTACAAGAGGTGAGCGGAGCTCCAGCTCACCTCAGGGCGTTTCCTACGAGCAGCATATCCTGCTCGAGGTCGTCCCTACACCAGCACTCGGAATACCAAGCCTGACTAACACCGTAGTAACTGTGTAATGGTAGCACATATATAGTACTGAACAATGGAAAAACAATGACGTTGCTCTGGACATGGGACTTCCGGGGGTGACGTACCGACACAACTCAGGGGATGAACAATTAAGGCAATAAATGTCATACTATAAATAACAGTAATGAACGGGAAGTGATAAAGTAGCCCAGTTTGGCTGTCAGTCAATATACAATGAAATGTTGGTGAGGATTAACAACGGGGATTAGCGCCTAAAACGTAATGACAATTAAGTTATGGAGACATGGCTACAGGGTAATTTGCCTATGGAGTCAAATGTACTTCAGGCAATGGTAGTCATAAATCAGTCGCTATGACAAAACGAACAAACAAACAAATCATGGCGATCTTCCATTGATCATTCCACTGGCCAGAGCTCCAGATAAGCTGCGTATCTGCGTGAAATTCGCATCAGAAATGCAGAAATACGCAGTAAAATATAATCCAAGCGTATCAAATACGCAACGAACATTACAGATACGCTACAAAAATAAAATTTGTGCGTATCATCAAAATATTGTGAAGTAACCCTGCGTATTCGATTAGCAAATCAGCAACTTATTTTGAAATTATAAACGGGCATTCCGTCAACCTTCCAAACTCCACGATGACAGTCACATCATGATCATTTGCCATTACACTTTCGTGTGGAAGTATCGTGGTATTTTTGAGTCCTATAAAGCTCTCAAACCCACACGACACCAGTTTGCAGGGACTAGATGAATAGTGTTTTTAAATATTTAACTTAAATACCCACATGTGTAAAAACTAGTGGGTAACAGAAATTTGAATACGCAGATAGAATTACTGATACCCAATGATTTTAAAATGCATGGGTAAAATACCCACAACACCAAAAGCTTATCTGGAGCTCTGCACTGGAGAAGGGTCCCTAGTACCCTGTATTTATTTCTTGGGACATAACCGGTTCAAGTCCCCGACGTTTGTTTCCGGGCGTGCATGCCGGTCTCCATAAGGAAGTTCAACGGTAATACCTCACTCCTGTCTTTCTGAAGGGCTCCCAGGTCAGAAAGACCCACAGCACCACATGCTTGTATGTTAGGTCCAAGAACCCGATGGTTGTCACCCAGGTTGTGACCAGTGCAGGACTGAATACGCAGTGCTTGGTCAAGGGGCCCAGGTCGTCACCAGTGCATGACATGCCCTAATAAGCAGTGCTTGGTAAGGGGGCCCAGGTTGTGACCAGTGCATGACATGCCCGAATACGCAGTACTTGGTCAGGGGGCCCGGGTTGTGACCAGTGCATGACATGCCCGAATACGCAGTGCGTGGTCAAGGGGCCCGGGTTGTGACCAGTGCATGAATACGCAGTGCGTGGTCAAGGGGCCCGGGTTGTGACCAGTGCATGACATGCCCTAATACGCAGTGCGTGGTCAAGGGGCCCGGGTTGTGACCGGTGCATGACATGCCCAGATACGCAGTGCGTGGTCAAGGGGCCCGGGTTGTGACCAGTGCATGACATGCCCAGATACGCAGTGCTTGGTCAGGAGGCCCAGGTTGTGACCAGTGCATTACATGCCCGAATACGCAGTGCTTGGTCAGGAGGCCCAGGTTGTGACCAGTGCAGGACATGCCCGAATACGCAGTGCGTGGTCAAGGGGTCCAGGTTGTGACCAGTGCATGACATGCCCGAATACGCATTGCTTGGTCAGGAGGCCCAGGTTGTGACCAGTGCATGACATGCCCGAATACGCAGTGCTTGGTCAAGGGCCCAGGTTGTGACCAGTGCATGACATGCCCGAATACGCAGTGCTTGGTAAGGGGGCCCGGGTTGTGACCAGTGCATGACATGCCCGAATACGCATTGCTTGGTCAGGAGGCCCAGGTTGTGACCAGTGCATGACATGCCCGAATACGCAGTGCTTGGTCAAGGGCCCAGGTTGTGACCAGTGCATGACATGCCCGAATACGCAGTGCTTGGTAAGGGGGCCCGGGTTGTGACCAGTGCATGACATGCCCGAATACGCAGTGCGTGGTCAAGGGGCCCAGGTTGTGACCAGTGCATGACATGCCCGAATACGCAGTGCTTGGTCAGGGGGCCCGGGTTGTGACCAGTGCATGACATGCCCGAATACGCAGTGCTTGGTCAAGGGGCCCAGGTTGTGACCAGTGCATGACATGCCCGAATACGCAGTGCTTGGTCAGGGGGCCCGGGTTGTGACCAGTGCAGGACATGCCCTAATAAGCAGTGCTTGGTAAGGGGGCACAGGTTGTGACCAGTGCATGACATGCTCGAATACGCAGTGCCTGGTCAGGGGGCCCGGGTTGTGACTAGTGCATGACATGCCCGAATACGCAGTGCTCGGTCAGGGGGCCCGGGTTGTGACCAGTACAGGACATGCCCGAATACGCAGTGCGTGGTCAAGAACCCAGGTTGTGACCAGTGCATGACATGCCCTAATACGCAGTGCTTGGTCAGGTCGCCCAGGTTGTGACCTGGCTGATGCCGTGTCATGGTGCCCCCGACCCGTGCTCACACTGCATGAACCAATCTGTTTGACATTCCCACACTCGATTATGTACGCTGCACGCCCGGTGACACACTTGTCATGCTATGCAACATTCACGCTCTCGCTTATTCCTCTGAGAGCTAAAACAATTTGTAACGCAGCACTATTTCAAACAGAAGTGTTCTTACCAAGGTCACAGAGGACAGCTAAACCTAACCATGTTTGTTTGACTGCAAAGAGGAAGACGGCCATCGGGGATGGACAATAACATGTTAAAGATCTACGAGAGAAGTGCAAGTTGTCGTTGCTTGATGTGTTAATCGAGAAATCAGCTTTTTGGGGTTAACCGATACAAGTTGAAAGTCTGCAGAGGCCTTTGCGCTTCTCTTGGCAAAGTTACATCCACACGGCGACGAGAGACACCAAGATGGCGCCTCTCATTGTCTACCCTTTTGGGAAATCGAAACTTGGACTAATGCTTGAAAAACGAACGCCCCTTCCACAAAGCTTGCTGAAGCTTGATAGGACGGGACTTATCAAATGTCAAAGGTACACTGATGTATCTCCAGGTACAAATGCTGTGTGTTTATGAGCTTAGATAAGATCATGCGCGCACTCTTCGTCACATGTCCGGCGTAATGGGGAATGGCGCCATGAACCGGGGACTGGCTTTAAAGAGAAACCATCGCCTGACAAATGCTGTTTTCCACACGGGACCTGCTTTGTTAATAGTGTGAGTTCACTCTCAATTCTAATGCTAGTGATCTATAATAATATGGATTTAATCATTACAAATAGAAGCTAGCAATTAAAACATTGGCCTGGAGGTATTGATACCCGTGATGTATCCTCTGGTGGATGAAGGGAGCCGGTAGGTGATAAATGAGGAATAAAAGCATGATTAAAACTAGATTTTGCAGACGCGGGAGTTCCAACAATATGGATTTCGTGTGTATAAACAGTATTTGAAAAAGATGGCGTCTGATTGATGCTGTGGCGCAATATCGGGCTGTATAGATCAAGCTCCGGGCAACCAGACGGTCCCTTGTGATCCTAGTCTCCAGAAATGGGGGACTGAGGTGAAACTAACGACGTCAATGGCTTGGCGTTGATATTTTTCGTATGTCGGTCACAGGAAATGAAATGTATGAAGCAAAATGGATAAAAAGTTTAAGAAAGCTGATACTCACGAAACATTGTAAACTTGCGAGGGATAGTGCAGGTGTACGGGAAACTGTAAACATCCAAAAGGCATTTACTTCTGTTTGCCTGCACATCGACCACGTGGTCTAGTGGATAGAGCGTCTGCCCGGAGAGTCGGTGGTTCGAGTCTCGGTCGCGTCATACCAAAAGACGTTTTAAGCTGACACTCGGTATCAAGGTGATAAAACAAGGACTTGGCGCCTCTGAGTCAGTATACTCTGTCTGAGTGGGACATGCATGTGTGTAAAACCAGCACAAGTGGGGACTTGTACAAGCACCCACGCACACACGCACACACGCACACACGCACAAACACACACACTAGAAGTGCAAAAATCTTGAACGCGACTTTAAACCCCATTTTACCTCATCTCATCTGTAAGAGTATGTTCATATAGAAACATTTTTCACTCAAAAAATAGTTGAAGAGCTTAGAGCTAAAAGGGGCCAAAATGCACTTTGGCCCTTTTTGCATGTTATTGCATAAATAACATCTTGTCTACCTGTAGAACAAATATTGTATGTTTTCATGAATGCGTTTTTGAAATATAGCTACTTCTATAGCTAAATTCTATAAAGGGCCAAAGTCAAGTTCCAAAAGGGCCAAAGTCACTTTGCTAGATTTTGGCCCTTTTAGTTCTCATTTCCGTGTGTGGTTGAGACTAGTTGTCTGAGACAGATTTTGAAAGTTTGGACCCTATTATTGTATTTCAACTATTTCAACTATTTCAACAAACTTGGCATTAGTTTAAAAGTACTTCAATAGCATGTGTTTGTACTTTCAGTAGTAGTTTATCAATCTCACATGTTTAATCCCATGCAAATGCCTGAGGGTAAAAAAGGGCCAAAATACAGACATTGGCCCTTTCCATCCTTACACAAATTAAAAACGTAAGTTTATTTCCTTTTTTGAATGTTTTTTTATATAACAACATTTGAGTGCACGGGTGGCCCAGTCGTCTAAGGCGCCGCGATTCGCTGTGCAGAGTTGCATCCCTTGGGCACGCCAGAAACCTGATTGTGGGTTCGAATCCCGTTTCGATTATGTTTCTAGGTTTGTCAGCACCATACCCGTGCTCGTGGGTTTCACCGAAGTGATAAACGTCTAAGACCTGCATCACATGGGGTTTTCCTCCCACATTAAGCTGACACGCCGCGATATAACTGGAATACTGTTAAAAGCGGCGTTAAACCAAACTCACTCACTATAACAACATTTATATCTCTGCTGTCAGAATGCGTTAATGTCTCGGAATGTATCGGTAAGAAAAAAGTTCATCAACATGCATGATATCATGTGTTTTCATCACTTTTCTCAAAACAGACTCCACATGACATTGGCCCTTATGGCTCTAAGCTGTTCAGTTTTCATTCTTCAAATGAATCTTTTATCAGAACGGCAATGTCAAAGAAACGGTGTACATTCAGTCCCCGTGAATAAACAAATCTATATACAATTACTCAGACAAACTCAGTGTGGGCCATCAAGATCTAGTCATCTCAAACTACCGTCAGAACATACATCTGGTCTGTGTACAATGGAAATTACTGAGCCCGATTGCGGGAGAATGTTGATCAGACGGGCGGTTTAGGGTGACGGGGTCGACCTGGCCGCCAACAATCGATACGATCTAAGTAGATAACTTCATATCTCACAATCACTTCCCTCATTAAGTTGTCTATAGAACCAATGTGTGCTGACCAGTATTGTCAACACGGAAAGGAACTGGTATTGAGTGGTCAGTAGACGCTTGTTAGGTGCATTGTGGTCGATAGGGGCCCACTGTCGAGTCGGCAGTGTCACTCGGTGGCCGATGTGGGCCGGGTTTGATGTTAAGGGTCATTTACAGTGTTAGATGGGAACCGAGCGAGTTCTTCAAGGGTCTTGTTCAATGTTCGAATGTTCAAAAAGTCCTGCTCATTCACCGGTAGTGGCCTATTGTTTTGTCTATGGATCTTTCTTCAGTTGCCGATAATGGTATAATTTCGATAGTGTCCTTGTGTATTGTGACCGTGTCATCCCAAAAGACGTTAAAAGATGGTACTTGTTGTTACCCTGTCTGGTGCTCGGCATTAAGAGGCTTAAACAAGGACTGGTCGCATTGGGGTATTCATGTTAAACTGCGGCATTGTAAATCGGCATCAGTCCGGACTAATACATGCACACACACACACACACACACACACACACACACACACACACACACACACACACACACACACACACACACACACACACACACACACACACACACACACACACACACACACACACACACACACACACATAGCGCTATGTAAGTGCAATAATCTTGGACGCGACGTTAAACCCCATGTCACCTCATCTCACCTGGTGTGTCGTACAGGTATGGAATACTGTAAGGGACATTGCGAGATCGCGAGAATGTCCCTTACAGTATTCCATATACAGGGATCTTGTTCAGTGGCCAATGGTGGTCAAGTGTGTTGTACAAATATCTTGCTCAGTTGCCGTGGCCGATTGTTTTATACAAGGCTTGTGTTTTCCAAGGGTCTTGTTCAGTGGCCTAGCGTATTTTCGTTTGGGGGTGGTGTGGTGCGGTTGTGTGTGTGTGTGTGTGTGTGTGTGTGTGTGTGTGTGTGTGTGTGTGTGTGTGTGTGTGTGTGTGTGTGTGTGTGTGTGTGTGTGTGTGTGTGTGTGTGTGTGTGTGTGTGTGTGTTTGTGTGTGTGTGTGTGTGTGTTCAGTATGGTGACTTTCTGTATCGTTCGAGATTGCTTGTTCAGTCGCCGATGGTGGCTTGTTCAGGACCAGAGGGCGTTTGTTAAATAAGCGATAAGCTTTACCGTTTTTGGTAATGATCCAGAGTATGTCACCATAGCTATAGTGGATTCCTCTACAAAAACACTAGGGACGAGTGACTTTCCAGATTTCATATATTTCCAATTTTGTATATACTATGCCATTGTGTCTTGATATGGTTGTATTGTGTGAAGAATATTAAGAAATTTAAGGACAACCAAAACCTATAATGTTGTTATTAGAAACCGAAAATATAATCAGTACGTTTAAACAGTCATATCGTGATCACGCTATTGATTTTGCCGATGTCATCGGTGTCGAAGTTGTAAAATGATATTTTGATTTCAAGCAAATATTGCTGAGATGAAGAGTGAGCACAAAAAGGCCTAATGGCGACGTGCTGAAGTGCACGGAGGAGGAATGTTCTCGGTAACTTTACTTCACCATCTGTGGTTTGCGGGAACAATATAAAAGACGTATTTAGAAGATCTTAGACGCCAGTTATCAAATAAACCAGTCAGCCTAACTTTCAATTGTTTAAAGTGTCTAATGGTTTCAGACGGGACACATCTTGAAATGTGACAAAACTGTCTGCGTGGGTTTACTGTAATTTCAACAGAAATGTCATTAACCGACAAATTCTGTGTAGAGTATTCCACGGTGTGAAAGACGTAAAGTATTGAATAGAAAGAATTTCTACTGACATTAGTACTTCTACGTAGGCTGTGAAAGTCAACATGGCGCGGTTTATATTGACTTCCTGTCACATCCGGGCACTAACGAAGGAGTCATTCCCTGTCATATATAAGCTGTCTGATCCGTTTAACTAACGAACACAGAAATCCTTTTATTTGTATAATTATTGAGACATATCAGATAATTGAACACGATTGTATATTTTTCGATATTTGACTAACGGCCTAGGTGGAGTTGGAAGGTTAGTTTTACATGTAACCGCTATCGATTTGAAGTCTACTAATTGGCTTTGTTTTTAAGCTAGGCAGGTGATAACGAAAGCATTGCCATTATTTATCGACTATTCCTGTTTTACGACCACGAATGCCTTCTCGTTAACGGTGATCTGTCCGTCATGTGATTAGCTAATTTCCTAATGGCCAGTGTTAATGTTCTAACTGAAGTAACCATATATTTGCAGGTCTACTGGGTCGGACCGATTCTTGGCGCCCTCCTTGGAGGCATCACTTTCGAATACAGCCACGTCAACTACACCGGAAGTCGTCTGCTACGTCGATCAAGCTCCACACGTGATGATAGTGGTCTCGAGGCACGTGCGAGTAGCAAAGAAAGCGTAGATTTGCCCACTGAGTTGACCTTCTCTGTCAACATGCCCGACGACCCAGATGTCTGACTGGGAATGTACAACATCGCTTGCGTTGAAATGGACGATGGAGAGGACTCAGAGATATGACCACAAAAAAAATGTCGGAGGAAGGACTCACTAGATATTTGCTGCGTTGTGAGGCACTCTGATAACGATCAGTCATCAGCCGTCCGTGCGTGATGTTCTAATCAGATAACCTGTCAGATACGGGCTGTGATGTTTTGCACAAATGAAGAAAAATCCTTTGGCTTCTGAGCCGGAAGCTTATTGGACTGTGGTGAATTAACCAGAGATTCCGTTGCCCTGGCTGTGGTCGTTTTTCCCACGGCAAAGTCAAAATGATGACTGATAACTGCAATCCACGATCTCGGGATCCGCCTTCTGGGGGTTACATTTGATATTTGTCAGATTAAACTTCAAATGCTTCTGTTATTAATATCCTTCATCGTTGAAGGACTGCGTTCTGCATAAAGATGCAGTAACGTTCATAGCTGACCTTCTTGCGTGTCATGATAGACATGGCAAAAATCAAGACGTAGAAGTCACTGTGACCAGTCATCGACTCACTTATGAGTGATGTCTGCGTATGAATGTTCAGTCTTGAATTCATATATTGCTATTGTTGTCAGTCCTCCATTCAGATGTGTTTGTTGGAGTGATAAATACAACAATGGACAAAGGTGATTGTGTGCTAGACAGGACTGAGACGTCTTACGTAAGAGGATTTGACCGTTCTGAAAGGACAGATATACCGCTGTACATTTATTCCACTTAGCAGGAGTGATGACGATGGTACAGCTAATATACCATGGACTATATTTACACCACAATGGAGTAATTTTCATAATGTTCACCTGCATGGGTGCGGTACTCGCTTGCTACAATGCATGAACGTATATACTTTTTGTGATTCATCGAATGACCCTGATAGCCAAACAGCACATTTTTAAAAGAAACAGATTTGTTTGGTTAATGTGGAGGTTTGCGATGGGGCTTTTTTTCTTATTTTTTATAGAGCTCCGTGAATTGGGGAAATCCTGTTCAGGCTAAAAACATGTTGCTTCGGGATATTATTTAGTGATTCTTTTGTCTCAGATCTCGAAAATGTCACGAGTGTAATAGGTTTTGGTACCTTTTGCTATTTTTCACCGTGATTTAGTGTAAGTGTGGGTCTAAGACATTATACTCTTCCCACTCTTCACCCCACATCTCTAGAGCATTCCCCCGAAGAGATACACACAGGGTATCTCACTGCGTATAGAAAGAGTAGTAAGTATTCTGTGTAATCTTGTCCGTGTTTTTTAACATTCCGTTGGGTATATTCCATACTTTCCAACACTGACCCTCGTACCAAAGATACATATCATGATATTCTGCAGTATATTACAGGCTTCAGTAACATCCTTAACACCATTTAGCAATGATTGTAGATATGGATTTTTGCACTTAATACAAGATGTTTCGCACTTCATACAGAATCGTTGTTTTCTACAAAGGGTATATACTCACCACCAAAAGAAACGTGAATACTTTATATGTTGGTTAATAAAAATTTATATGAAGACGCACTCATATTCAAGAGATATTAGATTGGTTCGAGGCACAGACGAACATACTGGGATGTTGTTTGAACCGATGCTCATGAACGCATCACATGTGACGTCATAGATCCATGACTCGAGATGCACCATTTGTCTCGTGCAGGATTAGCCTGTAAAGTTTGTGCATCATATTGTGATAAGAATAAAGTTACTCTGTGGTGACATTTGACTGATTATTAGTTTAATCACTAAGTGGTACACATTGGAAACATCTCTTCTTAACGTATATACTTCTCTATATGTTTCTATGGTTCGCGTTTCTTTTGGTGGTGAGTATATTTTCCATGTCATCAATTTCAGCCGGAAGAGGGCCCAGCCTCTCGCCATGTAGGCCTTTTAAGCGTTCAGACATCGCCTTTCCCGCAGTCAAACACTTATGCTTTTTGTGATCTAAATTAATCTATCATTACCGGATTACCCTAAACGTTCAGATCGTTCTAATATTGGCAACGTGTGAACCTAGTATAGAAATTAGCGCATTAAGACTCTTGATGTTTGGTATCTTGACACCAAAGATCTTGAGTTGAGACTGAAGACCTATTGTAAATCAGAAGGGTTGTCACGTTAAGGCTATCTCAAGGAGAAAGGAGCTTTGTTTGGATTGATGGAGAGAATCTGACCCAAATGTCTTTTTATAATCAAATTTACCATCCTAAACTGGCTCCAACAGGAGATATCGCTCGGGTGACATCAAGCGATATCTACATTGCATCACAATACTTTGCAGACCATTCTGATGCCATTTTACTATGACGTCATAATCAAGGGGGCACGGGTGGCCCAGTCGTCTAAGGCGCCGCGATTCGCTGTGCAGAGTTGGAGTTGCGTCCCTTGGGCACACAAGAAACCTATGATTGTGAGTTCGAATCCCGTTTCGCCCCGATTATGTTTCTGGTTTTGTCAGCACCATACCCGTGCTCGTGGGTTTCACCGAAGTGGTAAACGTCTGAGACCTGCATCACTTCGGGCTTTCCCCCCACATTAAGCTGACACGCCGCGATATAACTGGAATACTGTTAAAAACGGCGTTAAACACAACTCACTTACTGACTCACTATTTGATATGTCTTCTTGTATACGTCATTCATGTTTTCTAACATAAATAGTTCATCCACGACATTTTACCTTATGTAGAGTCTGACTGAAGGAATAAATTCAAATGTGACTCTACAAACCTCATCACCTTAAAACGATTCTACGATGATTTTTTTTGTTGTTGTTTCGCGCCGCACTCAGCAATATTCCAGTTATACAATGGCGGCCTGTAAATGATCGAGTTTGGACCTGGCAATCCAGTGATTGATATTGTGAACAACGATCCATTCCGTCGGGGTATGATGAAACTTTATGAATGACCGAGCCTGACCACCCGATCCATTTGGTCGCCTCCTACAGGATAGGTTGTTGAGGACTTATGCTCACCCTGAAATCCCCATGGGTCTGATTCTACATTGTACAGAGAATAACTGGCCGTTGTGAGTGAGTGAGTGAGCTTTTATGCCGCTTTTAACACTATTACAGCAATATCATAGTGGAGACACAAGAAAAGGGCTTCACACAAAATACCCAAATTGGGAATCGACCCGGGTCTTCGGCGATACGAGCGAACGCTTTAACCACTAGGCTACCCCACCGTCCCTGGTCGTTGTTCTGAGGAAAATTTGTTTCATTATATGAACGGTATCACAAAAAATCTTTGAAAACTCTCCCAGCACTATCTCCATTGGTTAAAAAAGCAAGGGCTGGGTATCCTCGATTATCGGGGAGAAATTATTTCTATTCAATTTTCATAACAACTTTCTTTAATTTCTTTAATTTGGATGTATTGCAATTCGTTTTGAACATTATAGTTCGATATCATAAAATGTGTTTTGTTTTGCTTATTTTTTTCGTGAACACCCGGTGTCATTAATGATTTTCAGTGATCCATTCATATATTTTTCACTGCTATTTTGCTTTTCACGCCCCAAGAATCTGTTTGACCAGATACTGGAGACTAGTTAGTCCCTGCCGTTGCCGTCTTGAAGGAATGCGCAATGTTCACTCAGTACTGGGTAACATTGTCAGAATGTTCGCATAGAATGGGATTGACCTTATCCTTAAATTTTCACACAGATTGTTCGCAATAATATAGACGAACGACACCCCATAACATGTACATCGTGTTCAATAGTATTAATAAAAAATGCCCTTAAAAGTTCTCATGCAAGCGAAAGCGTATGAACCCAAATCGAATCAATTCGAAACAAATCAATGCAACACTGAGATTTCTTAAGAATAAGGAAAGTGTTTTGCCATTCTTATTTAAATAGTAACACTCAATTTCTCGAATTATTGATATAGTTTATCTAAACTGCCGGGCAAAAGAAAGTATAAGCCCATATTTAATTCTGGCAAAAATGTTTGTTTGTTGTTTAACGCCGCACTCAGCAATATTACAGCTATATGACGGCGGACTGTAGATAATCGAGTCTGGACCAGACAATCCAGTGAATGACAACATGAGCATCGAGCTACGCAATTGGGATACGATGACATGCATCAACCAAGTCAGGGAGCCTGGCCACCCGATCCCGTTAGTCGAATCCTTCAATCATAGTCGCCTTTTACTGCAAACATGGTTTGCTGAAGACCTATTTTAGCCCGGGTCTTCAAGGAAGGGCTAAAAATGAAAAAAAAGGTTATTCGATTGTGATGTAATGACCAGAGAGAAGCAGTTGTTGAGTGAAGATCAGTTTGAGATGAGACATTGAGCCTAGTAACGTTGGAGTTTATCTGTCAGATCCATTGTTCAAGTGTATACTTTCCGCCCGGCCGTGTAGTTCCGCAGAGTACAAGGACTTAGTTAGTGTACATTGTGGTTACACAGTAC